ACGCAAAAAAACGGGTTCCTGAGCTTGTTATATCAATCCTAGAAGTAAGGTTGCAAATACTCATTTCGCTATTGATAATGTTTTTCAAAATTATCTATTCGATATTATGAGAATATGATGTACTAGTAAGTTACAAAAATTGGTTGATAAACATTTGTTTAACACATAAAACCTGTCAAGTTTGCTTTCAGTGCTTTCACTCACTTAAGGCTTGTACTCGAAAAAAATGCAGTATTTTTATCCGTGTGTAACTTTTTTATCCTTGGGTAAAAATTGATGAAAATCTGGGTATAACTAGTTTGGAGTGAATTGTTTACATGTGCAAAACTTCATAACAATCGGTTCAGTGGTTATTGAAATGACATCGAAACAAGAAGAAAATCGCCGGAGAATTTTGCACGCCGTCATTGAAAATCCGACTACGACCATGAGATGGATCGGAAGACAACTGGGAATCACCCATACAACTGTGTCTCGGGTGGTAAAATCGTTTAAGGAGTCCCAGACGACCGAGCGGTGAGCTGGAAGTGGAAGAAAATCGAAGACAGCTGACCCTGTGAAGGCCCGGAAGGTGTTGGATTATTTCAAGCGTAATCCGAACCTTTCGATTCGCGACGCGGCTCTGAAGGCAAAGTGTTCCGCCTGGTTCGTTCAGCAAACCATGAAACGAGCTGGGCTTCGTGTATTCAAGGTCCGGAAGGCACCGAACCAGCGTGATCAACAAAACACGGCGGCCAAATCCCGCGCAAGGAAGCTGTATCGAGAGTGGTTAACGAAACCGATGTGTGTGGTTATGGATGACGAAACCTACATCAAGGCAGATGCAAAGCAGATACCGGGGCTGGAGTTCTACGTTGCCAAATCACGGTTTGATGTTCCGGAAGACATAAGGAAGAAGAAAGTGGACAAATTCACCAAAAAATACTTGCTCTGGCAGGCCATATGCCAATGCGGTAAACTGAGTAAACCGTACATCACAATGGGTACCATCAACAGCGAAATTTACCGCACCGAGTGCCTCCGGAAGCGTCTTTTGCATTTCCTGCGGTCCCACGGAGGCGAGACATTATTTTGGCCGGACCTGGCATCATGCCATTACACGCGATCGACGTTGGATTGGAACAGAGACAATAACGTTGTTTTTTGTACCAAAAACCACCAACCCCCCAAATTCACCAAAGATTCGTCCGGTGGAAAGATTTTGGGCCATAATGAAGGCCCAAGTTTGAAAATCGTCCAAGGTGTTTAAGAACGAGCTGGAGTTGAAGAAAGAATGGATGAAAGTGACCAAAAAGGTCGGCTCCACCATTGCACAAAATGTAATGAGGGGTCTTAAGGGAAAGGTGCGGGCTTTCAGCGATGGAAAGGAAATTGAATAAAGTAATTATGCCGAAACATAATCCATATGTATTAGTTCATTCCCTGAAAGTTTCAAGAAAATCCTACTTAAAATAATTTTTTGGCGAACACCTTTGTATGGTGCATTTTTTTCGAGTACAGGCCTTACTCACTCACTATATCATAAAATCGCTGATGGTACCTTTCTGAAAAGGGAAATGACAGGTTTGATGTGTAAAACAAATGCTTTACAACCCCTTATTGTATCATACAAGTACAAAATACCAGCGGCGTCGATGGTGTAGCAGTAAGCGTGACTGACTCTCATTTCAAAGGGCCTAGCTCAAATTCCAGTCGGCGCCGCACAGCATGAGCATGATTGACCGCCCACGGTTGCTACTCTGTTATTGCCAGACCAGCTGTAATTACACAGAGAACCAATAGACGATGCTTGGGACTAGCAATCATTCTCAATGTGTAAAAACTGATGATCTCAAACTAGGCAATACCAGCGCCGGCCGCGCCCGAACACAGGTCAAGAAAGGAAGGGGTAGGAATGTGTTGACGTGACACTCGCTTTGATGGAAGCCGAGAACACCTCTGCACTTCCACGAGGAATCACTGGGATGTTGGATAAAAGGGTTGGGTTGGGTTTGCAGCAGGGTTCGTTTTGGTAAACGATAAGCTGAATTGATGTCCTAACAATCATATAACGCGAAGGAGCTTGGGATTGAACCCACAGTCTTCTGCTCAGTAAGCAAAAACGTTTGCCACTAGGCAGACTAGCTCCTTTCTAATCATCGAGTTGCTGTTATTACCATCTAGTCATGTTAACAAATAAAACGATTGACGAATCTTGAATGTGGATGGGCTTGAGATTAGACTCATGATGTTCTGCTCAGTAAGCAAAACCGGTTATGCTAAGGCCACCGAGCCCCTCATATCACATTATAGCGTTACTCAAGTTTTTATGGCTATTCAGACCCGGCACCGACGACAACGAAAAGTTTTACAAAATACACGATAAACAAGCGATCTAACCATACATTTTTAATACGAAAGGACCTGGGACCGCGTTTTTCTGCTCAGTAAGCAAGCCACTGCAACCGACGATCTTTGAAATCTTTAAACTAAAAGGTACGAAAGAGGCTTTTATTAAGATTCATTTTCACGCGACGTTAAATGTTTCGATTTTCTCTTTACGCATGGTTCAGGTAATCATAACAAGCTATGACTGACGTGACGATTGTTTAAGACCTAGTTGAACAAGCTATTCAACAAATGAAATTACGCTCTCGAATTTTTCTTGGCATGTAATGAACAACAGAAGTACGCGATAATTCATATTCAAATCCCAGTCGGCGCCGCACAGTGGGACGAAATCAAAAATAGTGGGACATGGCTATTTGTGACGAAACTATTGAGTGTAGCATTTTGATGTCTTCTAGAATTTTTCTTCATTTTTAAGTACTTTAATTGAGAAGTGAACATTTTTTATTAAGGGGATTATACACTAAGATAAAAAAAAAATACTTTTTTATGTCTTGCTGAAGTTGATGAGCATTTATGGAAACATTGTAGATGAAGTCATTTTAAGAAACTTTGTCGAAGACGTCAATTTTCTATCTCTCAAGTGGATGAAGTTTTAGTGTAAAAATGGAGTACTAACGCTAGTACCCCCTTAAAACCTTTTTTACCATAGCTTTTAGTTTGAATTTTTCGATTTTTTCAATGTCCTACAAAGTTTTAAGTGCTCTAAAAATGCACATTTTTGTTCATTGAAACAAATCGCTATCTCTTCATGTACAGGATTTGCATACGTATTCACAACTTTTCAACACTAACTTTAAAGGGGTGTATCTTGCAGGTTAACAGGTATTAGCAGCTAAACTCGACGTAATTTCGTTCAGCAAATTATACCCTACTGTAGCATATACAATTCAAAGGGAGATCCAAAGGGAGAATTTTTTAATAAAGTACCTCAATGTTTTGTAACGTTCTGCTCTTTCCAAGTATGTACATTAGAGTGGGTTGTAGCTTCAACAAAGTTGTTTGGTATAGTATTCTCAATCTTAGTCCAAGATTTGGTGAAATTTGAGCAATATTTGGAAACAGCAAAACGTAACAAAACGTTGAGGTACGTTTTAGAAAATTCACCCCCCTATAAATTGTAAATGTAACAGTAGACTAGAAGATGCTGAACAAAATAACGTTTAGATTAGCTGCTAATACTTGCTAACCTGCAAGATACACCCCCTTACAGATAGCGTTAAAAATTATAAAAAGGAACTTAAATCCTTAAAATAAAGAGATAGCTATCTGTTTTTTTTTCTGCAAAAAATGTGCAGTTTTGAAGCACTAACAACTTTGTAGAACATTGGAAAAAAAATTAAAATTCAAACTAAAAAGATATGGTAAAAAAGGTTTTAAGGGGGTACTACCGTTTGGACTCTATTTTCACCCTATAACTTCGTCCACTTGAGAGATGGAAAATTGACGCATTGGACAAAATTTCTTCAAATGGCTTCTTCTACAATGTTTTCACAGATGATCATCAATTTAAACAAGACATAAAAAAGTAGGGGTAAGTCACTCAGCACAGTGTGCCGAAAGTAGATTCGGTACAGCTTGGGCACATCCATCGGCACAATCAATGTAGGCATTGCAATGTTCATTAAATAAAATGGGAGCACTGCTGGACAGCTGTCATTCAAGTTGTTCACAACATTACGTGCTATTTGACTGTGTATTTCAGAAACATAATCTAATTGAATATACTAGAGGAACTCAGACCAGGAATTCACTTATCGGTTCACATTTAAATTCGAAATGTAGGCTTCCGAGGGCTGTCGATTGCTATCGATGCTGGTCACAAGTCTTTTAGCTACTACGCAAATGGACTGCACTACGAACCGGATTGCAAGAACAATTTGGATGGATTGGATCATGCAGTGGTGGCGGTTGGATACGGAAAACTCAAAGGAGAAGATTGCTGGCTAATTAAGAAAATTTTACGTTAAGGCAACGGCTCGGGAGTGGCAGGATGTGGCCTTGTGAGGACCCTAGTTTTCAGCAGCAAATCACCAGCAAGCGGTCAATTGGTCATCAACCAAACCAAACTCACTTGAACAATACCGAACTACTTTACACGGCACAATCACAAGGAATTTTTATTGCTTCCACTTAACCTAATTAACTTACAATGTTTAAACCGAATTTCACTGGGTGAGATACTATGATCGAATTCTCCCAGAACTCCAACTCGATGGTAAAACCGAACGTCTTAGTTTGGGATCCTCCTTCTTGGCATAATTCATTCCGACGTTGAAAACCTCCGAAAGCTTCTTGCCCGGAATCATCACCTTTAGCAGTTCCTCTTCCAGATTGAGCAGAAAGGTGTAGTGCTTCTAAATCGTTGCCGTCGGATTGACCAGCAACGTTCGGACGACATTGAAGCAGTAGGACTTGTAACGTGCACCCAGATCACAGATGATCGATCCGAAGTGCAGATAGTCTTGTCGCTGAATGCACTGAACATCAAGCTGTAATTGGCAACCGACTAGATAATCGCCAGGTTGCACATGTCCACATAGTTGGTATTAACACCGGAGATGTACCTTTTGTCCGTCAGAGCCTGCTCGATCCTTGTTGAATACATTTACCGTCTGATGGTGATAACCTCGGAGTCCTCCGTGGAGAACATGATGTATGCGATTGGGACGCTGATGTCCACCGTGTCGAAACTCTTGTCCTTGATGAAGACTCGCCACGATTCACAGAATTCACCCGGGAAGTTTTCCTTGGAGAAGACGCCGAACGTTTGGCCATCTTTGGATCCCTTGATCGCCTCCAGCAGCTTATCAAAATTGGCCTTGCCTTTGTCGTTCTCATCCCGAACCAACAGCTTCACCGACGGAATGCCCTCCTCACAGTCCTTCTCGATCTGCTTCAAGAAGTCGATCTTCTTCTTGCTGGTCAGGAAAAAGAATAACTTTTTGCACAGTGCCGTAACCGTATCGGTCAGCTTGTATCCCAGTAGCCAGGTCTGCAGCGAGGTGGATTTGTTGTAGATGGCTTCCTCGTCTACGCCGACCGCCATCAGAATGCAATCCAGCTTCTACAGCGAATCATCATGAGAAAACTCTGGTTTCTTCCCGTTGGTGTAGAGGCGTTTTATTCGTCGGTAGAAGAAATCCTTATCGAGCACGATATTTGACATTTTCGGGACCGTTCAATTATCGCATCCAACGGTTTTCCATGCGGGGACACTACCGGTTGCTCTCCGGCTTTTTGTTCTTTGTTGTGTCCTGTTGGATGACTGAGACCGCTCACGGTCCATCTCACCAGCATTCCTCCTTGGTTTTCGCTATACCTATGTTATCCTTCGATTGCAGACCAAAATATTCAATTTCTCAGAATTACCGGGTTGCTAAATATACCATAATATAAGTATTTTACAAAAAAATCCCAGTTTGCTCTACGATCGGCACTGCCGGCACACTGAGAAAAATGTTGATCCAATATTGTTGTGCGGAGTGACCTACCCCTTGGTATACCCCCTTAAGCAAAAAAAAAATTACCAATCCAATAAGGAATTTAAAAATTTAAGAAATATTCTAGACTACATCAAAATGCTACACTCAATAGTTTCGTCACAAATGGCCATGTCCTTCTTTTTTTGATTTCGTCCCACTGTACACCGTCGGGTTTTTCTGAGCCATAAAATTTTCGGAAGGGAAGTAAAGCCGTCGGTCCCCGTTTATGAGTTGATGGGTCGAAAGGGCGGGTGTGGGAGCTGCCTCCCTGGTGTCGGTGACATTGGTACTCACTACGGAAAACAAGATCGACGGAAAGCAAATTAAGAAAAAAAAGTACAAAATACCATCATAACAACTAATGATTCCATGATTTAAAAAAAAAACATTTTTATAACTAAATGAGCATTTGCAACCTTGCCTACAAGGGGCAAAAAACCCGAGGCAAGATAGCGTCTTGATTTTGTTTTCAACACGTTTGCGCTCTCATACTAACTTGAGTGTTTTCAGGGAACCGGTTTCAGCTCCATGTGAATTCTAGTCGATACGATAGGATAGTAACTGCGTAAAATACCGCTGCCAGAAATGCGAAATTGTCAACGAAAGCTATTTTCCAGGCGATTGAATCCTAAACTAGTTTAGACTTACACTAATTGGAAGCGGGTTAGATACTGATCCGATAAGATTATGACCGATTAAACATTTATTGCGGATAGCGATTCTATTTTGCCGTGAAGATGGTACCTCTAATTGTCAAAGAAAAGCTAAGACGTCGATACTTGAAGATTTTTCCGGCGTTTCCAATAGAGGATTAATAATAATAATATTACCTGATTATATAAACATGTAGGGTAAGTGCACCAGTATTGGCCATACTTTCATATTTTGGCCATGCCTCAGAAAAACGAATAAATCTCAATTTTCCATCGTTTTGTGGGCGATATGTACATTTATTCCGATGAATAAGAATTTAATCAACAACCTTAACACAACTTAAGATCTCAAACTCGTGAAAAACGTGAAATATCTAAATATCAAAATATGTGCGGTTCCTCTATCTTGCTTCACTCGCCTACGAACATATATTGAGAAACGCTACTTTAAACACGAAAAACGGATTCATAACATCCCCAACGTGTGACACTGCTAACACTAATTCCTCATATCAACAAACACCTGGGCCGAGAAAAAGGCCTAAGCCCCTAGACAACAGAGCGCCAAGTGCAATCCTTAATCCGCTTTGCCCAAGAGAAGCCCTTCTCGGCCGTTTCCGATCGGCCAACGGGGCGGATCAAACGGGAAGCCATTCATCCTTGAGCCAATACGTCGTCTCCATCTCCATTTCACGGAAAGCCAACGGCGGAGTAGGGGTAGATACCATTCATTTATCACCATAATAGCAGTTTTGCGACGAGCCCAAGAGGATCTACACTGGCTTTTCCTTCTACAGCTGTTATCGTTCCGCCTATATGCTGCTCTATTTTATTCTGTTGGAGCACGAAGAAAGAAAAAAAAACTGGGTCAACGAATACGGAACACTTTGCAGCACCATCAGCAGCCACTCTTTCACAGGAACAAATCGATTCAATGTCACAAAATATGTCCTACATCAACGGAGAGTTTGCTTTTGTGGGAATCAAGAGCATTTTATGACTTCGGTGCAAACATAAATAGTGATAAACATGGGGAGAGCAACATCCAACCATTCAATGAACCGAGCATCAAATCTGAATGATTGATGGAGCTATTTTGGAAAACATCGGGAATTTTAATTACAAAATCTTGATGAGGAAGCTCTACATCAAAACGATATGCAACATGAGACACCGAAACGGGGGATATGTTTGGAAGGGAAGCAGAAACGGTTGCACTTGGCATGAATGAAGTGGACCAGCACTTAGCAAGTTTATTCAGCTATGTGTATACAGATATTCGAAACACGCCATAAAACTTCCCCCTAATGGCGTGCTGAGCTCAACCGGAAAATGGACCAATGTCACACATATGAGTGCTGCTGCTGGGTTTAATTTCAGCACTGGTGATGTTGGCTCCAAAAGAATTAAAGACAGAAAAACAGAAGTATAGGTATATGTACACAGTGGGTATGAAAGGAAATTGGAAACGACTTTTAGTGACACGTCCACATTAAATTGTCAAATGCAGGAATGTGTTGGAAAGGCTTTGGGTGGAACATTCCCTGTATTTAGAGTAGAAATTAAGAGAAAATTCTAGGAGATTTTTCAACGATAACTTTTCAACATTTGTTGTTCGACAGGTAGAAATCAAATCAAATTCCCAGGCTTAATTTTTTTTAAGATTATGGCACTAGTAAAGTTTGCAAGATTTCGGAACGAAGAAAAATATTTTATATAATATGTCAGCAAGACATAGACACATTCTCAAGATTCTGATATGTTGGTTAGTTTTAAGAACCCGAACCTGAAACTTTTTTTTTTCTATTTAGTTCCAATGATTTAGAAAAAAAATCATGATTCGTGGATTTGGAGTAATTGTCAAAATCTTAGTCTCAAAGGAATACTCTGCATGCAAAGCTTCGAAAAAACGAATAAAAATCCTGGGACTTGGACAAATTTTCAAGAATTCCAGGATTTTTTAAATTTTAGAAATCCCGGAGTTACAATTACAGTAAACAATGATTTTAAACGTTGATTTCTCGCGAGTTAACTCATTAGGCAAACCAACAACATCATCTCGCATTAATTCTGGGAGTTCTGAGTAGTATTCCAGAGGGATTCTGATTCCAAGAACCTGAAGAATTCAAACGGAATTGGATTCTCACGATAGATCCAAGGAAATTCATAGGAGAGTTTCAGTAAAATTCTCAAGAGAATTCCAAAGACATTCCAATGGAATTCTGGGGGACGACTCTGGCGTAGTGGTTAGCATCCATACCTATCATGCCGGAGTCACGAGTTCAAATCTCACCCCCGGACAAGTCACGAATGACCCAAGCGTGTTAAAGTGACAATATAAAAAAAAAAAAAAAAAAAAAAAAAAGGAAGAAAAAAAAAAAAATGAAATTCTACAGAGAATCTCAATGCAGTTAAGCGAAAGCAAAGGAATTCTGATGAAAATTTATAGGGATTTTTATTTAAATTCTTTATTTAAGAGATTTTTAACCGAAGGCTAGTTCATCTCTAAATTATTAGGGAATGAGGTGAATTGAAAGGGAATTTCGGGAGACACTTTGGGAAAGCTAAGTTGGATTCCATCAACTCGGGGGCAACATGACAGCTCTAGTATATTGCCAGTGTACCCCGGCAATTTGGTGCTCGTGGTTCTGTCAAACTCACAAATTTCAGAAGTGTTATCTGAATAGGGCGAATTTGAAAATGATGTACAGTAGACAGATAGACAGAAAATAAAATTAATGTTTAAAATTCATCATATTGTCGCGTGCCAACCAAAACGGACACGTGACGTCCGACGTAAAACTTAACATTAACGACATAGGAACTCGATGCCAGCAAGAAATGTCGTTTTGACTCTCAGTAGTATGAGCAATACATAATCGGTTTATGAAACTTTTTTTTTATTTAGTGTACCATATGTATTTGAGCAGTACATAACCAAAAGCTTAAACATATGATTTGTGAAACGTAATTATATGATTGTCATCGAATTTATTGGAATATATGGGAATTGATCAAGGATACTTTCGGTGTTTTCCATGCTATTGCTATTATCGTCTATGATGAACAAAGAAGAATGGTTTTGCAGCGAGTAAGAGCGTACTAATTATACGCAGTTAGTACTGCAAAATGTGTAATTTGATTTTTTTTTTTTTTTTAATTCTTTATTTAAGAGATTTTTAGCCTTAGGCTAGTTCATCTCTAATGTGTAATTTGAGGTACAAGCTTAAAAGAGTACAACGGCGTACTTTGTACGTCTGTCGAAGGCCTTAATGCATTCAAACTACCGTCGATTGCTGAATTTATGTATGGGCCCAAAATTAGGGGCATTTAGACCGACATTACGTCCATTTCCTTGTTCAATTTGACTAAATTATCAATTTCTTGCGACAACGGATCTACGTTGATTCGATCGAACTCGATTTTAGCTGATATTTTAGAAAATTCTGATTAACAACCACTTCACTTTTATGATCACTAAATTTTTGTTCTTCAAGGTATTTGAGTAGTCATTGGCACTATGCCCATGAAAATAACATTGATATTCCACCAGAAAAGCTCAAAACTACCACTCACTCATTTGGTCATATCTCAAAAACTATTTGTCCAAATCATTTGCCCTTGGAAACACATCAAGTAGAAAAGTTTTCCAAAGTGGGGTGAAAATTTGAGCCCAACATATTAACACTCCGAATACGATGCCTCCGAAAAACGTGTAACGGCAAGTTTGCAATGGTACAACTTAGCCATTTCTAAATTAATTTCAAAAATTGTGGTACCTTTAGAATTCCTAGGGTTTCTAGATGATTTTGATTGTAAAAAACTTGAAAATAGAGTCGTCTACTTTTTTAAAAAGCGAAAAGAGTTGTTACACGTTTTTTGAAAGGTGTGTTTGTAGGGTTTTGCAAGTG